TTTCTCTCTTTTCTCTCTCTCTCTCTCTCTCTCTCTCTCTCTCTCTCTCTCTCTCTCTCTCTCTCTCTCTCTCTCTCTCTGTCTCTCTCTCTCTCTCTCTCTCTCTCTCTCTCTCTTCTCTCTCTCTCTCTCTCTCTCTCTCTCTCTCTCTCTCTCTCTCTCTCTCTCTCTCTCTCTCTCTCTCTCGCCCTTTCTCGTTCTTTGTTAGTTCATGGTTTTCATTCATACCTTCATCATTGCGGCAATTGATATTGACGGATGGCTGCTCAGAGAGAAAGCTGGCCAGTTCACGATGTCCCTTCAGGAAGGCCGCTGCAAACGGTGTCAACTGCAACACACGATTTAGTGTTGAGGTTTACAAATGAGTGCAAAGTCTTGCAGTTCCCCAATACATGCAAGCCCCCACAAACACGCACATACCCATGTGCACGCACACACGCACGCACGCACACACACACACACACACTTACACACGCACACGCACACGCACACGCACACGCACACGCACACGCACACGCACACGCACACACACACGCACCCCAATAACACCCACCGACCCTAACCCCCACCCCACTCACCTTCCACGCGTTCTCGGCGCTGATATTGGCGCCGGCGCGGATGAGCAGCTGCAGGCAGTCGTACCAGCTGTAGCCGGCCGCGTAGTGAGCGCACGTGTTGCCCGATGAGTCGGCGTTGTTCGGCGACGCGCCGGCATTCAGCAGCAGCGAGGTGACGTGCGCGTGTCCGTTCATCACCGCGTGCATCACGGGCGTCCGCTTCAGCTTATCTGCAGAGCAGCGCAAGAAACAGAGAATGTTGGTTACGACTCGTGCACACGCGCATAGGTTACGGCCTTATGTCCCACAAGGGGGACCAAGAGGATAAGTAAGGTAAGTACACGCAGGCACGCAGGCACGTGTACTTCATCACTGCGTGCATCACGGGCCGTCAGCTTCAGCTTATCTGCAGCAGAGCAGAGAATGGGGAACAGTGACAGCGTCGGTTACGACTCGCGCATACGCATACCCTCTGAAGCACATACGTTCACCAACACGCACGCACGCATGTACGCACGCACGCATACACTCTGAAGCACGTACGTTCACCAACACGCACGCATACACTGAGTACAAACATTCACCCACACTCAAGCACACATACACTCAAGCACAAACATGCTGCAGATTCTCCTCCTCCTCCTCCTCGACCTCCTGCTTCTCCTCTTCCTCCTCCTCCTCTTCCACCTCCACCTCTTCCTCCTCCTCCTCCTCCTCCTCCTCCTGCCACTACTGCAAACAACCCTACTACCACATAAGCGCCGCCCACGCACCTTTCTTCTCGATGATGGCTCCCTGCTCGATGAGGTACTTGACAAGCTCATAGTGACCCTGCGCGCAGGCGATCATGAGCGGAGTCGCCCGGTTGGCCGAGGGTCCAGCAGGCTGCTCCACGTCGGCGCCGTAGCGCAGCAGCACCTTCACCGTGCTCTGTAACATAGTGAAGAGCGACGCTGACGATGCAGGACGACTCAAGCAAACCCGAGCATTGTTAGGTGGGCGCGTTAGCAGTCCGTTATGCGAACCGGCATTTCTATACCAGAACGGGTACGGATCTGAAAAGACTGGACGAGCCCGCAGTGAACTTGCATATGACACGCTAATAAGCACAACGCTGACGGCGAGAAAAGCCGAGCACCATTAGGCGCACGCGTTAGTAGTCCGTTATGCGAACCGGCATTTCTATACCAAAACGGGTACGGATCTTAATAAATTGGCCAAGCGCTGTGAATTTGCGATTGTCCTATGTGCGAACACGATAATGTATCAATGTAATATATATAATGTAAAAACTCTAAGACAAAGGAGCTGAAACTAAACAAAAAAGTAGAGATCAAAGTGAAAGTCAGAGTAAAGATCGGAGTAAATGTCAGAGTGAAGATCATAGAACAAGTGCCGCAGAGCGACAGCGCTCACCTGACGGCAGGTGTTCTGATGCTAAACTCACTGGCAAACGAATGAAGAGCACCCTCCCATCACCGCGTTTGCGCTCAGAGCATATATCTAGGATACTACTAATACAGATCTAAAATCTATGATAGCTAGGCTTTGCTATACCGGTAGTACAGTAATAAAGATACAGCTGTGTAACTTTAATGACTTCGCTATATTAACATGTTATCGTGGATATGCATCGAGCGCGAGCGTAGTGGTGGTGGTGGGGGGAGAGTGGGGGGAGGGGGCGGGTGGAAGGGGCTCTAATAGCAAAAGCAGTTGCCGCGAGATGGCGCGTGCAAGTGTCATCAATAATCAAAGATGGCATCACCCTTCGTGCGTGATAACCTCACTCCATTGAGTTGCTGAAATCCAAGTATATTCAGGCAGGCAAGAATTTTGCTCAGCTGTGAGTTAACACATCTGCATTGTAGGTTGCCAGGCAATAATTATGATTAGAATAGTGCCAGTTCACCCCCATGCATGCGTAATGGGCTGCCCCCATGTTTTTGCCTACACACGCGAGCATTCAGGGTTCATTACAGTGTGCTATTACAAGGTGCTACTCAGGGTGCTAATACAGACTGCTTTAGAAAATAATATGATTTAAGGAGCGTAAACCTTGTTCAACAAACATTTGCCTTTGCAATTGAACTGTGCAACTGTAGCCTCACATCCACAATGGCAAAAGCAGTTCAGTCCTTTGTTAACAGTCAACAAATCCATGTTTAACCCTCCTCTTGAGGGTCAAAAGATTATCCGACACTTACTCTTCGCATGTCAGCAGAAAGTACATTTCATGGTTCTCTCAATAAAGCCATAAAAATGCTAGGTCACTGCTGAAACAAAAGTTTTTCAATCGCTCCGTCAGACCATGTCCTCAGAAAATGTTCTAAAATCTTCCCTGTGCCCCATTGACCTTTGACCTGTGACCTCCAATTTCGGCACAGTGATGGCTTTTCCTACCATGATGCTATACACCGACTATCACGAGCCTAGGTCGAGCCGTTTAGATTTGTGCCGCAATTCTGCATTTCCTCCCTATACCTTAAGTTAAGGAGGGAATGTTCCCCCTTCTTTTACACCTCTTGACCTTTGACCTTTGACCCCCAGCTTCGACATCCCAACTCGTTTTGACGATCCCCCCCAACGTCCCGAATATCGTGACCGTACGTCGAGCGGTTAAGATTTGTGCCCAACTGCTAACGGACGGACGCACGCACGGACGGACGATCATGCGATTCTACAAGCTGCATCTGACTATGTCAGATGAGCTAAAAAGCCAGAGTAAAGTTAGGAGCAAAGGTCGAACTAAGTTTATGTCTAAAGGTTGCAATGAAGAAGCCGATCGAGTTCCATTTCGATGGACATGCCCTCTCCAACGTACCAGGTGACCCTTCAAGCAGGCGACATGCAGTGCTGTGAACTTTCTCCTGTCAGCTTGGTTGACTCCCGCTAGACCGTGACCCGTCCCTTCGGATGTACTCGACTGATCTGGGAAGAGGATCATAAAAAATCACAACCCAGAACGGTGATACAAATCACATCATTAAGCACGATCACGTCAGTCTTACTGTGAAGTCTGTCATATGTCTTCTAAGAACGGCAAGTGGGAATGTACAGATTTCCCGCTGCTCGGCTTGTACTGAGATTGAATTTTCCTCGAAAATACCCAACTTAACTATTCAGGTCACTGCATGAGCAGCAAGCGACGCCACTGGCTGCAGAGCAAACAAGTGGTGCCACACGTTTCCCGACATGTGCCACCATTGCTGCTTCTGAATTATTATTAATATTATTCTTTTATTTATTTATATTGCGCTTATTTATTTAATTATATTACATAAAATGATCAAAAGCGCAGCACATCGATATCATCAATGCACTGTGGCACTTGTTCATAGACATATTGCACCAGCTGCCTCCCAACATGCGGTCTCACCTACTTCAAGACACGTGCCTCCACGCGTGTCGCTGCTGACAAAACCGCGTAAAAGTCGCGGGGATGACGCGTACCTGACTTTGCTTTCTTCAGCAGCAGCTCGACGTTGTGAGTGCGGCCGAAGTAGGCAGCCACCATCAGGGGGCTACGCTGCTGGCTGTCCACCTCGAACGGGCTCACGTTCCTGCATGCAAAAAACCGGATGAAAAGATCACGATCTCGCGGCTTACCACACGCAATCTCCTACCAAACTGCCACCGCGGCATCCATTTGCATTCACGTAGCTATTGAAACTTGGACGAACCACATTATCCAGTCACACTCCAGGACACCAGAGCAAATATTGATTATCGAGGGAAATAACAGGCTTGCGACAGTTAGCAACAACAGAATGTTGTCTTGCGAGCCACAGAAACATTTATCGACATAAAATACATGCTAATAAATATTTTTATGGATCAAATGCACTGATATTATCTTCTCAACACCACTAAAATACATAATAGACAACTATCCACTAAAAACGTCCATAGGTAAAAAGTTGAATATTACGTAGAATTTCGCAAATAGAAGCAATGGGTAGTGATGAGCAATGAAGTACCTAGTAACACCTAAACGTAAAGAAACTGGGCCCACGTTTACACACGCAGTTACAGGTCACAAACTGGTGCCCCTATGTAGACGATAACGACACCACTTTGTGACCCAGAACTTAACTATCGACTGTCGTGTGGGCCACAGACTGGTCAGGTAGGCCTCGGACTGGTCGTGTGGGCCGCGGACTGGCCGTGTGGGCTGCGGACCGGTCGCGTGGGCCGCTGACCGGCCGCGTGGGCCGCGGACTGGCCGTGTGGGCTGCGGACCGGTCGCGTGGGCCGCTGACCGGCCGCGGACCGGCCGCGTGGGCAACGGACCGGTCGTGTCACGCTCCACCAGCGACGCAGTACACAACTTGCCTTGCCAGCAGCAGCTCTAGGGGCCCCTTGCCCTCGCAGGCCGCGGCGTAGTGGACAGGCCGGCGATGGTACTTGTCAGCGAGGTTCAGATTCGACTGAACAGACAGCAGCTTTGCAAGATACTTGGGGTTCGGGTTGATGCAGGCACAGTGGATCGGGGTGACCTGCGAATGCACGTTTATTAAACGAAGAACATGACTAATAACACAGTATAATAACTGACACCTCGCGTCGTTTATAGAAGTGCACAACCTTACCACTAAATTCATATTAGTTCGTCCAATTTCAATGTTGGTAATTGATAAAAAGCTCAATTGAAAAAAATTTCTTTTAGGTTCCCGAGTGTCTGGTACGTCGATAACAATTGTAAAATCAAAACGATATCGCGTAACTTTACAGCAGTAATCAGCAACAGCCTCTGATCTCCCGACAATAACAATCCTGTTGTTTCAAATATTCCATCGGTTACAAACAACTTAAACAGTTTAAACAGTCGCTTCTCAACTCACCCCAGCATTGTCAATAGGTTTCTTCTTAATCGAGACAGCGCGGAATGTTTTCAAATCCTTCTGGTCATTTATCAGAACCTGCAACAGAAACAAGACATGGGTCAGCCTACGAATATATCACGCGAATAACCTGCACCAATCATACCTAGTACGAATAAGAGTGATCACCATTAATAACAACACGAATCTAATAATTCACCATCAAACTACCATAATAACCACCATTAATAACCATAATCATCATATAATTCATTATGATTCACCAATAATAATAACTCGTCGCGACACGACAGCACGCGGACAAATGAAGATTTGACGACGCGACGCGCGGCAACGAAAACACAACGACCCCCTCCCCATAAACAAGCGTGACGACTGCATCGCACACGCGTCGACCACACGAGGCAGTACATCATATACCCGTGCTTCTTAAACTGGTGAATGGTTCACCCAAGGGTGAACGAAATTATTTTGCAGTGCATGAATCAAACTAGACCAAAAACATGAAGAAATTTAGTCGTTGGTGAATGAAACTTTGTCGTGAAGACTCGCGGGGCAAACGACACCGAAATAGTTTACAAAGCACTGCAGCCGCCTAGACGACCGCAGCCGACCCCCCCCCCCCACACCACCACCCACACACACACACACACCACCACCCACGCGCGCTAGACGCAGCGTGAAACCTGCCTCCTTGTGCAGCTCGTTGAAGCCGTATCCTCCCATCTTGTCCACCATCATCTCCATGAGCTTGCTCGCGACGCGTCTGTTTCCGGCGCTTATAGCCTCGTGCACGTTGTTGCACGCCATCCTCATCTGAAAACGTCATCAGCATCGTTCGTCAACAATTGTCAACAATTGCCACAATGCTGGCACACCGTCTATCGCAGTACCGCGCGAATGCACGCCCGTAGGTCCTGCACCATGCATCTTAAAATTAGGCGAATGGTGAATATAACAACATCGCTCGTCAGATATCGAATATTTGTTTTCTCAGTAATTTTTCCCCCGTTGTCCTAACACATGTAACATGTCGCAGTAAATCGTTGGCACACAGGATATAACGTGTAAAATTTATCAACACTGAACTAACTAAAATCTTTTCATAGGAAATATCACATACATGTTTAATTGGTAACGATCGTTGGCAGACTTGCAATGCTCGATTGACCTTGCTTCAATTTGCTGCAGTTTACAGCCACTAAGGCATACACTGATACCTATCTACCCCCCAACGCAAAATCGAATCCACACGCATGCCCGTGACGGGGAAAGGAAGTGCTTCAGCATCTTATTACTAATACGTTTATCGTCATGGTTACGCTGCAGACGACAACCACCCTTACCGCATTCTGACCCGATCCCGCGATGAGATGTTCAACTGTTTCCCACGATACACCGGGCTGCTTCAGTGCAAAGCGAATGTAGGTGTCGCCGGTTGTTCGATCAGGCCCAGTCAAGTCCTATGAACAAGGTCACAGGCTACTACATAACAAATCGCTCACGTACCACGTATCGAAACTCAAAACGCAAACTGCCTTCAAAATCGTCGCCCGCATTGACGATAAAAGAACGAGACTGGTGTCACGTTATCTTATGGATAATGACGCAATGCTGGTCCACATGCTACCATGACTAGCATACCAAAGATTTATTGTTATACCAGCTAGTAGCTAAGTACTACTACGTAGATTTAATTTCCCATCTTTGATGCATTACAGTGTTTACAGTCATGCTCGATTAGAATTCGCACGTGTCTTTGGCATGCAACTATTTAGAAGAAAATCGATAACATCCACGGGCAAGATAGGCGTACACAAACACGAAAACTGCAAAAAGTCCCGATCGTACCTTGGTTAATGCATTATTCCCTTCCTTGCCACCTCTACTCATCACTATAGGTCGTGTCGCGTGGCCCAGCATGTAGTGACTGCCCCTGAAACACGGCAACAGGGCATTAGCTTCAAAAGTCTGTATCAATTAATGTGATTAGCTCCGTCAATGTGCCATTGTGCACGCTCCATATGACGTTTAATTCATGTTTATGTTCAATTACGTGTTAACGTCATAAATCGCTGCTACTTGTCTGCCTCTGATACTGGAATCATACTGTATCATACAAGAACGTGGCGACTGCACGACGCACATGGAATGCAACGCGCGAAATGCAATGCGCGGAATGCACCACGTGGAATGCACCAAGTGGAATGCACCACGTGGAATGCATCGCCGTCTCTGCACCAAAGACTACGGCCAACATTTGCATCTTAATCGTTAAGTTCGTCAGCATCCTTACTTGCCCGGCTCCTGTGTCTTCAGGAGGCTTGGCGTTGGCTTCACGCGTTTCTTCGGATCTTTGAGGTCTTGCAGCAGAATGGTGATGGCTTCTTTGTTGTTGGCAAGGATCGCATAGTGCAACGCGTTGTACTTGATGTCGATCGATCGACTCACTCTCATCTATAAACAGCCAACAAGTCCATGGTAATGGAAGAACGGAGGTAATGACCACCAAGCTTTTACAACAACATAAATAGAGTGAATGACAAACAAATAATACTGTAAAAAAAATTCATACAGTGATGTTAATGTTAACAATACAAATAATAATAAGAATGGGAATCCTCTCCATATACGGCATATCTCGGATTAACATTGACATCAATAATACAAATAATAATATGAATGAGAATCCATGTACGGCATATTGCAGATTAATCGAGCGATGCTTGAGGAGTCTAGTTACCGGAAACTGCGCAGAGCTTACGGGCAAAACTGTACTTACGCTACACACGGACTTTGTATCGTCGACCATCTTCCGCAAGGCCTTCGTGTCCTTGACAAGAACAGCTCTTATGGCCAACTTACTGTAGGAGGACACTGAGAACGGCATTGTCGGCGTAGTACTGAAACATAATCGTGTCATAATTATGCCAAACGTCGGCCATTTTCTGCGCCGGTGCAAATCGACACCACCGATATGCGCAGCGGCAACGAGAGGTCCACGTGTGAGAACTACGCTAGTGTCACTCCGCGGTTTACATTAAAAAGTATTAGTTACCCCTCTCACAGTCTCAGAAAAATGCTATTAGCATTAGGGTGTCGGTTTTTCGTTAGGCAACGATGTGTATTTGCTGATTAAACCCCCCGAGTGTATACTATTATCAAGCTTTTGGTCATTTTCGAAAGGTGAGGGTAGTCTTTGTGTAAAACTGAATTCTGAGGTCGGGGTTCGAGGCCTGTCCAAAGCCCAAAATATTTATTACTTCGTGTGCTCTGGATAAATGTTGAGTCTTATGTTGAGGAAAATGTTTCAAATAATAAGAATTGCCTAAAATAAATCTAGAAAATCTAGACAACGTATTTTTATGAAAAATATTATGAGATATAACACCTGAAAACACAGTAATAATTTACCACACATTTACATAGCAAAAAAAAACAAGTTAAGAATACCATGAACGAATCTTTCAGTTCTGGTTCAGTTCAGTTCTGGCAAAACTACTCACGTGGCTTCAAACATGGGGTCGGTGTCATAAACAGGGACTTTTGGGTTAGTCTGTAGTCGCTGGTTTGGATGGGTGACCTTCCTTCCCTTCACTTCTGTCTTTACCGCCTTTGCTTGCTGCAGTGGTGGCGGCTGCTTAACTGTTATATGTTAAAGACATACTAGTAACACACAACTTATCAAACTCTAAGAAACTATTTATCTTTTTAACAGCATCAACTAAAAAACTATGATAGGCTATACCTACTGGTAGTACAGTAGTAAAGATACAGCTGTGTAACTTTAATGACTTCGCTATATTAACATGTTATCAAGGATATGCGTCGAGCGCGAGCATGGTGGTGGTGGTGGGGGAGGGTAGGGGAGGGTGGGGGAAGGGGCGGGGGGGAGGGGGTGGGAGAGACGGGGAGGGGGAGGGTGGGGGAGGGGGCTCTAATAGCAAAAGCAGTTCAGTCCTTTGTTAACAGTCAACAAATCCATGTTTAACCCTCCTCTTGAGGGTCAAAAAGTTATCCGACACTTACTCTTCGCATGTCAGCGGAAAGTACATTTCATGGTCCTTTCAATAAAGCCATAGAAATGGTAGGTCACCGCTGAAACAAAAAAGTTTTCCAATCGCTCCGTCAGACCATGTCCTCAGAAAATGTCTAAAATCTGCCCTATGCCCCATTGACCTTTGACCTGTGACCTCCAATTTCGGCACAGTGATGGCTTTTCCTACCATGATGCTATACACCGACTATCACGAGCCTAGGTCGAGCCGTTTAGATTTGTGCCGCAAATTCTGCATTTCCTCCCTATACCTTAAGTTAAGGAGGGAATATTCCGTTCTTTTACACCTCTTGACCTTTGACCCCCAGCTTCGACATCCCCACTCGTTTTCGGATTACCCCACCACGCTCCCAATATCGTGACCGTACGTCGAGCGGTTAAGATTTGTGCCCAACTGTTGACGGACGCACGGACAATCATGCGATTCCACAAGCTGCATCTCACTATATCAGATGAGTTAAAAATTTACCTGCTAACTATGAATGCAAACGGGACAACAGGTTTTTTGTTGCATTTTCATGCACAAAGTTATGTTAAGAATGTATACAAGTCAGAAAAAAGAAAAACATGTGCCTTGCATGTACACCGTATGTTTAAAAAAATGTAGACCCTATATGTGTGTAGTCATCTTATTTGTAACTATTATGATTTCCATTTACCTGGTTTCTTTATTTCAGTCACAGCTGGTTTCTTCACCTTAGTGGACACCACTTTGGTCTTTTGTCGTCCCGGTTTTCCTAGACATGGCAAACACGGAAAACAATTAAAATTGCTGCACATGAAAAACACCTATCATCCATGTAAGAGCTATCTATGTAAACAGCCATTGTGTTGAGGAGAGAGGGAGAGAGAGTGGGAGAGAAATGTAAAAAGAATGCAAGCGAGAAGGGAGGGAGAGTAGAGGGTGAATGGAAGAGACCAAGGGAAAGAGGAAAAACAAGACATAAGCAGCAATTCCTGAACTCCGGAACAACACACAAACAGAACTGCATGCCCATTGAAATTAAATTTTCTTTCACTGCAGTGTTCATATTTACTGGCTGCAGTGTTGACTGCACTGCATTATTATTATTATTAAATCGTTATTGCATGTAATTTAAATACAAATACATGTGTTGAAGGCGTTTCGTTCTCTCATCATCCAGACTCTATACTTTAGACTTTATGATTACATTCTTTCTGAAGCTACAAAACTGCAACGACTACTACTCACTGCCTGGCTTCACCATGACTACTTCCTTCTTCTGTCCAGGAGTCTTTACGCCTCTGAACGGCTGCTTCGCTGGCTTCCTCTTCGGCCGCTCTTCCTCTGATTCCCCCGACTCCTCTTCTGATTCCTCGTCTTCTTCGTCCGACTCCTCGTCAGCCTCGTCTTCTTCTTCCTCCTCCTCCTCCTCCACTTTGTGTTTCTTTCGCTTCCGGGACTTAATTGGGATCGTGCCATCTTGCATTGCTTTGAACTCTGTGGTGGACAAGAATTACAACATTCAGGTTGGCAAGAAAGATTATCACAGAATACGAACGTGTTCATCGTAACTAGCCTCTTCTATCGCCTTTCATACACATCCACAGTCACTGTCAAGGTATTTCTGATTGGCCAAGAACTTCCGTTGACTTTAATAAAAATGTATGTGATCTCAATTAGAACCACCGTGACACAGGTTGCAAAAGATACAAACATGATACGTCACTTTAGCGCCAACGTATAGCTACCTCTGGAAAGAAGACAGTACACTACAGCAAACATCGAACACTTTCGATCACGAATGCTAGGCGTACGATAATAAACTGTAGAAATGGAAGTCTACACAAAAAATTGTTATTCGTTCTAGAAGAAGAAGAAGACTAGAAGGAGAAGAGCTATACCTGCTAGCTCAGCATCGCCCAGCTGCCCATTCTCCAGCTTAATGGCACGCTGCAGGATCAACTCGATTCGATCTTTCTCCGAGTTGGGCAGCTTGAAAGTCTGACGTGCGACTCTGTCAACCTGCAGACCAAATCCCCCCACACTGATTACTATTAGCAGATAGAAATTACTTATTGTAATCCAAGACTGCATCAGACCACACGAAACATGGTGGCTTGCGTGGCATATGAAGATTGAATTATAAAATGAATTATTATTTATTTAATTTGAAGATTGGTTTATTAAGTTACCACTAGGTAGTTACAATCCATCCCGCAATTCAAATGTAAAAGAAATACACAAGTGTTAAACGAAATTAACTAAATCCTGAGGTAAAATCCCCTTTCTATGCACAGACATCCATAGAAGCCTAACCTAATTTAAGTAAGGACATTATCTTAGAATAGCAAGGCAAGTAATTACTAAAACAGAAATACAGTCTCACAGTTGCAATAAATAATATGCAACTGTTACTTATTTTTGCACATGGCACAGCGAAGTCAGATAGACCACTCACCTTAACATTTGTTAAGACTGTCTCTTGGTCAACCTGGTCGGGATAGGCAACCTTGTATATGTTGGGCGTCTGTTCCAAGCTTAACCATGCCATCTTGAACTTACGCGTTGTCTTGTATACGTTTTGCCCCGTCTGACACAGGTAGAAGCTTCCTACACGCACAACAAGAACATTTTTATGAATGAATCACGGCATATTATCGACGACACATTTTGTGACACTCAACAAGCTCAGCTGAAGTCGTCATGAGCGCATTTGAGAGAAGAGCCAGTCCACTCAACACAAACCTCACTGCCCCAAAGCTATAGGCATATGACACCAAATGCAACTGATGTCTGATCACGACTAGTGATATGATGGCGATTCTGACCGATCCCCATCACTAGTACACAGACCATGCAGCTGCCCACGTGCCCTCTCTCCACCATAACATCTAAACGCAGGAGATGTATATAAATCATATCACGATTAACTTTTTAGGTAAGCTGCTAAAAAATGCACGTACCCTTAAATCGTAAGTGCTAAATCAATCAGAGTAAGTGAGTATTTAAAAATATGAGCGAGTGGTACGGAAACAAACTCTTCCGTTAATAGCGTACCTCTATAACGCCGACATCATTTTTAGAAGCAGAAAATCGCGGATTCACAGTGGAAAGAACTCGTCGCTAAATTTTGAAGATGAGGGTATTTTAAAGTCGCTCCTCCAAAAATTAATTAACATTTACCACAACAGCCGCCCAATTTTTAACCCCCAAAATGCACCTTTTTCGTTGCGAACTGCGACGATCTTTCCCTTGGCATAGTAGAGCACTTTCTCCTCGGGCGGTTCGTGCTTGATGGGCGTGTGTTTCGGCGATTCCATCGGTACTTGGAAGGGCACGTGCGGCACACGCAGGCGTTTTGTCGACCTGCCCGGCGGTGTCTCGGCATCCCCCTCCACCGACCGCTTCTCTCCCTGAAAGACACGCAGTGTTGCGTGCAGTGTGCAGAGTCTTGTTTGCCATAGCCCAAACACAACTTTCGTTCTTGTTCTTACCATGGGAGTATTCATTACATTAATCAAACGAGATAGACATCATGGTGGCTGTGCACTACTGTTTAAATTTGTTATTTCTCGTATTTGCCCTAACGATTTTTTTATTTTCTGCATCGATGATCGTACGGATACTTACCGGTATCGCTTGTGCAACAGCAAATGTCTAGAGTAAGGCAAACATGTCACACAACACTCGTACATCGTTACATCTACTTATATATGCAATAACTGCAATTTCGATTAAACTTGGAATTCACTGTTGAAGTCACATGGTACTTACGTCTTGCTAGATTTGGATTAGGAACAGCTTATAGAATGGTAACTGTCTCTGCAATTTTTAATACTATCTTCTATCTTTTCACAAAATCAGATGCACTTTTGTCATAATTACATATACATATATGTGTAGCACCGCTTACAAGTGAACCATCCGGACAAACAAAAATTTGGCTGTGTTATTACATATCTAACTGGTATTTTATATCTTATTACAGCACAAATTATTTATAAGTTGGTGTAATTAGTGACATATTTCTTAGCAGATAAGAACATACTACTACGTGTTTTTATTTTGTACATATATTTGATAATTAATAAATTCAAGGTACTACATAAACTTGTACGAATTCCTATCCTTCTTTACTGTGCGCATGAATATGTCCACAGACTTGTTCTTGCAATCTATTATCACACTTTCAGTCAACGAGAGCCAGGTGTTATGCTCAGAGACACATAATAGTATTACGGGCAACGTACCGGATCTCTAACTTATGGGTACATGTTCTGGTTAGCAACGTTACACCGATGTAAATGGCTTTCGCAACCAGATTTTCGGAATACAACATCACATCACAGACGCCACCAACAAATTTGTCAGGCGGAATTGCCCAACTAACCTTTCTACGAGTCGAAGGAGACGCTTTCTGCCTTCCAGCTTTTGGCGAAATCTTCGCACTAACCGGCGAGGTCTTTGCAGCTACAGGAGCTTTCGCTTTAGCCCCCTTCGCACCGGCATTTCGGATCGGGGAAGCACGAGCGGCTGGCGCGCTCTTCTGAGCAATTGGTTTCGTACCGTTGTTGGTGGGTGCATTGCTGTTTAACACAGCGGCCTCCATGATGCAAACACACACTCAGTTCCTTGCTTGCTTTTTGCTGTGTATACCTGCAACATGAGCAGATACTAGTAAAAGATCACATGGCTTTTATGGTGCAACAGTTAGCTTGAGTAATAGGTCTTCCACTGTAAAAATTCCAGAAGAATATATTCTGCAGGAATGGTAATGCCTATAGCATGCATGATATTAAACCGACCAGGCTCTCCGACTGTTACACGGCGGAGGAGCCTGACACCCTTCCATACGAAATGCCTGGTAGCTTGAAAACAAACTCCGAATTTCGTAAAATTTCGTAAATAAAACAATGTATTACTACATTTGACCTCACCTGTTACATGTTTGCAACTATCGCATCACTTCTTAATTAATATTTACCTCAAAATACACGTTAAAATAAGAGAATTTCGAACAGCTATAGTATTTGAACGTTGTAAAATGCCATACTGGATGTTCTTATGTCTCTTTTTGTATTGTTTGTACTTGTATTTTTTGCTACGTATGATGGGATATCTATGGGAAAATGGTGGCGTTTTTTGAGTTTTATCTTATCAATTTATAAATAATTACTCGCTGACACGTAAATACATGCTCAGTGATAGCGCACATATAATAAATCGAGGCGTGGAAGTACAGAGAAGCGGTAAAAATCATAAAAAGTTAGATATTTTTACGTTTAATAGCAGCGCATGTCATGTCAAACAATATTCTATTGCGTCGGCTTGTGACCCTCTCGCCAACGTAGTGTTAAGCGAGAAGGGAACTTGTGGCTAGCATGATGTAGGTATTTGTTTTGGATGAACAACATTTTTACAAGTGTATCATGTTGGAGTTATTATGTGTATTAGTGTGTGTTTGTGCACCCATGTGATGCGTTTGTGTACATGTTCTCATAAGTACCTGTGTCTGGGTGTCCATGCATATGTGCATGGACTTAATTAATGTTACTATACACTATATATGCATGCATGCACATTACATTTATTGATGCATATTTGTATATGTATTATGTGCACATAAGTGTATCCATGCATGTGCATGTGACCAAGTGCACCACTGAGTGTACATGCATTCAAATGAATGTGTGTGTACCGGATTGAAAGCATGCGATGAGCCTACTGTCCTGATGTCAGATAACAATTCATTTATATTTTATTTTAAAGTGTAAATAAAGATACTCATTGTCACGCAATGTGTGTTCTTAGATGCATACACGCGTGCGAATAATGGCAGATTGTATTGCTCATTCTTTTTGTCTTAAAACATTACAAATAATATTTAATCATATGAAAATTTAATATGAAGTCTACTCCACGGCCACGGTCCAAAATACGACATCACTGTGGGTGAGCGTCCATCATCCATCATTCCATGGCATTGTTGCTGTACACATGGAAAGCACAAACAACTTTCGTTTCACGAGTTTAGTGGCATAAAGAATCGTGTCATAAAGCTACATTTTAACGCAGATAATCTGCTTAAAGGCAATGTAATCAGAACTTAAATTGAGGTATCAGTAAACTTACAGCAAGATATTGTTGATAAAAGCGCTAATTCTTTACCGGTGTAATGGCTGCCATTTGCAAACACAAGGCATCTTTTATTTATTCAAGTGGCGTTCCTCCCGGACACATAACATAACCTAATATTTACTAAATCTCTTTATACGCTGATAACAGCGGTTTAAATTTTGCGACCTCCTTAAAATTGCACGTAAATTCACAAATAACAAGTTTCTAAGCCTATTGCACTGTAACCATATTTTTCTATCTGTTTCACCGATTCCTGTAATTTTCGAGGGGGTGGTGACAAAACCTGTATTTTTTATGTAAATTAGCACTTCTATTTTTCTAACGATTATTTATCGCTATAATCGTAATATCGTCGTGTATGCATTTTTATAAACACTCAAATGTTATCTAATAAAATCTTTACTTTGTCAAATTCACTTTGCCAGCCAGCGTTTATATGAATTTGTCCCCAACTCGTACTGATCAAGAAAGAGCTTGTACAAGTAGCAACAAACAAAGCCAAAGCAAAGGCATTTGTACCGACACATTTCATATATTTTTATATTTATAAATTATTACATTGCGTAAACAAAAACTTCACGTACTGGGCTTAGTATAAACTATAATTAATATACTACTACTACTACTACTACTACTACTACTACTACTACTAATCATAGAATATATGATTCAATGAGACGACCAAGTCGTGCCAACCATCTATTTTGACGATATGGCACATGAATCATGATATCATATGGATAAAGGATTTTTATCAAGTCATATAGGTTTGTTACATAAGTATAACGACAAATAACGTGCGTATGTGTAAATATAAAATAATGACGCACGCCGTTTTTTACTTGTTGTACAGTATGCGCCACTTGGCATAAACATCATAAACAGAGAAGTGTACTGCCATTGTCGCCACTGTCGCTTATGTGCGCGGCGATCGCCCGTTGTTTTGTTGTGGTATGATCGGGAAACTGTTATAGGTTATTTATATCTTGCTCTCATGTTGTAGTCTTTCCAAAATCACGTGAGAATGTCCTAGGAGTAAGCACACGCAATGAGGGCGAGTTTGAAATTCCTTGACAATTATGTACGTGATTTAGGATATGTTTGGGATTGTTAACGTTGTGTAGGGGCCTAATGTTCCCGTACGTGTCGCTGTGTCGTGTCTGTGTACATTTTGTCGGTGTCTTCTGCACTGTGCACGTTAGTCGTTACGCTTGATACATTGTACAGTGTTAGCGACAAGTTAGTGTATCTGCATATAACAAACTAGCTGGCTATATAGATATGCAGTTGATGTTTCATTTACTAGTTTGCGCCAAAGCACAATGCCAGCCGACCTCTATGTCTATGAACACAAACTTCACAACTTGATGTGACAAAGGCTGGTCACTGCCAGGGTTTAGTTACGTCGTGAAGGGATGTCATCGGTTTTCAATCGTAATGTTTATCGTGGAAGCTGAATTGTGTATTTACAACGCAACTGGTAGTCTGGTAGTGGAGCGAAGTACTGCACAGATAGAGCTAATTAACGTAGCTAATTTCGTACTACCATGCAATAATGACAATTTCATGTTCTGCAGTGGCAAGGCCAAGCGAATCCTCGGTCATAGGTAGACACAGGTAATCGTTGAATATTACCGAGTCAATTCACAGGTATGTACATCGGTAATAGTTTAGCAATTACATTTACACTACTAGTAGTATAAGTAATAATGGTAATTATATTGTTAAAAAAATAATTGCAACTGTAAATAAGTGCCTAGTTAAATACAGAGATTGTGCTTTTATCCAGGTGAGCAGAACATCACAAAATGGCAGACGGGACCGGATCGCAGACGAGTCCCGGCGCGGAGAACTCGCACCACAAGTACCTGTACCTGACCGTCGACCCGCAGAGCGGTGCCGGGAAGCTTACCGCGTCGGGGAAACCCAACGGAGCGGCGGCAGCAGCGGCGGCGGCGGCGCACGCCTGCGACCAACCCGCCGAGCACATCTGCTACAAGTGCGGCGTCGCGTTCCTGACGCGCGACAGCCTGCAGACGCACGTCGACGCACACGCCACATACGAGTCGATGCGCTACAGCTGCGGCATGTGCCTCAGCCAGCTGCCGTCGCTGCAGACAATGATCGAGCACACCAAGGTCGTCGTGTGCACGCAGTGCAACATGGCGTATCCGTGTGTGCGGCACGCGCGCGCACACATGAAGTGCCACCCGGCGCGCGGGCCGCGCGTCTCCATACCGCGCGTCAACTCAACGGTGCCGACGCCCGCGCCAACGCCGCCGCTGGCGCCACCTGCGCAGATGCTGCAGAGCGCGCCGGCGGTGTCGTCGAGTCGGATCATCTCGATCACGCCACGGTCGACCGTCGTCGGCGAGCAGGCGGGCATGGTGGCGCCACTAAACTTGCAGACTAGGAGCGCCGCGTACGGGCGTCCGACCTCTAGTCAACCTCAGGTATTTCTCTCCCTTCTGCCCCCACGAGACGTGGGCTGACTCGCCATATAGAGATACGCTGTCTCTATATCAAGCGTTTTTCCGCAGTTCGCGACACATCACAAAATACACAAAACTTTAAAAAAAAACGCACCATTTTTTCACACGTAAAATGGCCATTGTTTCTATCATTTTAACGACAACTGTTTGTGTATTGCTTATGGAGGGGGACTGGGGTGGTTGTTTTTGTGTTTTATTATGGTATAAAATGGTACAGGTAACCCTAAACCTGTAAATTTGCCACCCTATTGGTGACCAAGTGCTCACTGTATGTTATCGAAGCTGACTTTTTTGTGAATATTTCCTGCATGACATGAAAGTATAAAATCTATGCTTTTATTTTTAGCATTCAACAGTAGAGTATAGCTTTTTAGTGTGTTCTTCACTGTATGATGTAAGTATTGGAAATAACTCGGCCGGTCATGATTTTCGTAAAATGTTGATTTCTACTATTCAACCTATAGAAAATTATCCCCATCCTGCTCAATAATTACCAGTCCTAGACTGTGGGAGGGGGCTGCCATTTCCATCGCCGATTTCTCACGATACGCGACATGTTTACAACGCACGCACGATGCTTCCAGGTCGTCGCTACCGACTCCCTTCCCGTTGCCGAGGTGATGATCACCGTGAAGCCAGACCCTGATGCGCCGACGTCAGCCTCCCACGTTGCCGACGGCAGCCCAGACGGCGGGCCGACGGGCGAGGATGGCGACGACGGCGACGCACATGGCAAGCCGCACCGCTGCAACAACTGCGGCATCTCGTACAAGCACGCGAACCACCTCAGCAACCACATGAAGACGCACACGCAGGACCTGCCCTACAAATGCCACGTAGGTGATGCATCGGGGATGAGGGGGGATGTAGCTAGGCAGGGCTGATGAAGTGTGGGTGAAGGTGTAGGGATAGGTGGGTGAGGTGTAGGTGGGGGTGTAGGTAGGGATGCTAGCCGACAATTGTTATTTACTTTTGGGTGGTTTAGTTTTACATTATTATAAGTTATTTAAAGTAATGGTGCAAGATGTTTCCTCGTCATGCGAAGAAGAGAAAGAATGAATTCAAGTCATCATTGTTTATCGATCGCTTCACTCAAAAATATGCAGCCTAAGGCTAAGGCTCACTAACCATTGGTAATTTTACTCGTCTGCAATTAAATCTATTTGTCCAGTTATTGAATCTAATACGGTCCTGCTCTTACCACTGTATCGCTGATTTTCATACCCCGTGCGCAGATATGCGGTCTGGGATTCGTCGTGAACTTCAAGTACCAGCGGCACATGCAAAAGTTTCATAGCGGCGAGACGATGCACGATCGGCCCTTCAAGTGCGACGTGTGCGGCTCGGGCTTCAAGCAGCGTAATCACCTTGTGCAGCACAACAGGTGAGCATCGGCTGTTCTTTCTCAACGTAGTGCCAGCATTGTAACAGGCCTCCATGTCTGGACTAGACCCTGAGATAATATAGTAATATATATATTATTGTATTATATTATGCGGTATATAGTGCATTATCCATAGCACTGCAAGCGATCTGCGCAAATTTATTGTGATGTGGCAGCTCCCCCGACTTCCTGCTCTAGCTCTGCGGAATTAACTCTGCCTGCCGACCTATAGGCTGCCGTGTTTCTAAATTATATTCGAGAAGTGTTGCATGGTCGTGTGTAGAGGCCCCGCCAGCTAAAGCACTACAGTAAGTGATTATGATGCTAGTGGTAATAGAGAGGATAATCATGCATTTGTATGTGCAGAACCCATACCGGAGAGAAACCCTATAAGTGCGGAGTCTGCGGAACAGCATTTGCGCTCCTGGGCAATCTCAACTACCACATGCGTATCCATGGAAACCTGAAGCCATACAACTGCGATGTCTGCTGCCAGTCATTCCGCTCCTCCACGCATTTGAAGCACCACTTCTCACGCATCCACAAAGGCATCGTTAATCGCAACTATTCGAAAACTAGTCAAGGTACTGACGTGCTTACTCTACTACCTCACATCCTGTTTTTAGTCCAGCTTGGACCTGCATGTATGCGCGTAGCATGTGTTGTATGTAGATTTAATGGTTTGTTTAGCAGTTTTGGTCAGGGCCATGGCCTGTGGGGCAAAGGGGGCAGTATGATCAATCTAAATAATGCTAAACTCAATAGAATGAAAAATAAAAAGAACAAAAATATCCCTTCAGCCAAATTCTATCTTACATGTGGTTTATTTCTTAAATTTCTTAAACTGATTTCATGAAAGTCGATTGATAAAGAAGTAATTAAAACGATCAACATTACAGAGTAGCTGAAAATCAGCCAGAGAAGTTGTCTTGATGCTACTAAGTAACCCATGTGGAAATGCGGCAAAAACAAATTAATTCGAACCCTCGATAAAATATGATCCCCTGAATCATTCTGCCCGATTCCCACGTTGATTCGTCATGTAGCGTCTCGTGTGTCTCGCGCAGGTGCCTCACAGCCGGCCGACATCGCTCTCTTCCCGACGAATCTCGTGAACCCGCTCGAAGGAAACCCGATCGACGCCAACGACAGCTCGGAGGATGCTGCCGAGCCGTCTGGTCGCCACGGCGACGGCGACGACGAGCTCATGGAGGCAGAGCACGACGACGAGGATAGCAAGATTCTGCAGGAGATCCTGCGCGAGGGCGAGGTGCCGGATATAGCTGGCTCGGTGTAGCACGCGCGTGAGAGGTAGCGTGCATGTGGGAGTTATTGTCTAGCACAATGTGACGCTCACGTGGGAGGGACTGTCCAGTTTGGTGTAGTGCACACGTAGGAGGCATGACCAATATGATGTGACACACACGTGGGAGGTACTGTCCATTTCGATGTAGTGCACACGTGGGAGGTACTGACCAGCACGATGTGATGCGCACGTGGGGGCACTGACCATCACAATGTGACACACACGTGTGAGGCAATGTCCAGTTAAATCTGACACGCACATTGGAGGTACTGTTCAGCACGATGTGACACGCACATTGGAGGTACTGTCCAGCACGATGTGACGCGCACGTGGGAGGTAATGACCAGCACGATGTGACACGCACGTGGGAGGTAATGACCAGCACGATGTGACACTCACGTGGGAGGTACTGACCAGCACGATGTGACACGCACGTGGGAGGTACTATCCAGCACGATGTGACACGCACGTGGGAGGTACTCTTCAGCACGATGTGACACACACGTGGGAGGCACTGACCAGTTAAATCTGACACGCACATTGGAGGTACTGTTCAGCACGATGTGACGCGCACGTGGGAGGTACTATCCAGCACGATGTGACGCGCACGTGGGAGGCACTGTCCAGCACGATGTGACGCGCACGTGGGAGGCACTGTCCAGCACGATGTGACACGCACGTGGGAGGTACTGACCAGCACGATGTGACGCGCACGTGGGAGGTACTGACCAGCACGATGTGACACTCGCGTGGGAGGTACTATCCAGCATGGTGTGACGTCGCGTGGGAGGAATGTGTACTCGTTGGTGCAATCTAATGCATATAGGGAAGATGCTGTCGCTATGTAGCGCGAATGGAATGTCATAGTGTGGCGTGAGCTAACGTGGAAGGTACCACTGCGACGTAGCGATCACGTGCAAGGTTCTGTCACTAAACAGCGTGCAAGTAGTGAGTGCTGATGCAGTCTACTGTGCACATGGGGTAATCCTGGATCTAACTTGTCGACCGTAATATACGTGTGCGAAGTGCATAGCCAAGTTTACTTGCGAATCCAACGAACACACAAATCTGTTATCATAATGCGTATGCTTGAATATTATGTATGATCTATATGAATTGTGTATAATATATACACTAGATTTATATATATTTTTGAATGTTAAAACAAGATCGACTAAATATGTAGTTCAGTCAGTACAGTCGCACATGTCAGTTTGTGAGCTTGTGAGTTTGTGAGCAGATTTGAATGGATGTATGTTTTTGCGAACTAACACGTTCGCTGTGTGTTGCATGTTAGGGCAAACATACACTCTGAGTCTCCACCCACACACGTTTCAATACGATTCAAATACGTTTACCTACCTGTATGTGAAACCCGCCAGGTAGTTTCCTAGCATGTTTCGTATGTTTGGAATAGATAGCAAACATGTTTGCCTAGTGAAACGCGGTTTGGGTGCCGTGTGTTTTAGTAAATTATCAAAGGATTATTAGTTCGATATGTTGCATTTTAGTGATGCGTGTAGAGTTGTACCGACAGTCATTTCATATTGTCATACACCACCAAATGTATATATTTATTAATGTTTATCTTTAAATCTCAGTAAAATGTGGACATGTAAATTCAGTAGCACTTTATTGTGTAAGTGATTGTTTTATGTTTTATGTTTTGTGTTAAGGTTGGATGGAAGAATCCTTTTGTATCATCGCGTTTTTAAAAGGTTTAAATAGGCTGATTTGACTGTATATCTGAACACATAATCAAGTATTCTGTATAAAGCTGCGCCAGTGCTGAGTAGCATAATAAAGCACGAGGTCAATAAAGTAAGTAGGTTGATTTATGTCTAGTAGCGTACCGGTATTCATGTTATTATATATATGTATGTATATGGATATAATGGTACATGTGATTTAGATCTTTGTTAGATGTCATTGTTTTGTGGATTAATAATAATGTCGTGCCAACCGAATGTAGTTGTATACTGCTGTAGTCACTTTACGAGCCCTAAAAAGATGTACATTAAATTTGATGACAGATGGCAATTGTGCACATAAACTTACAGAAGTTACAGAAGTTACAGAAGTTACTGCAAAACTGCATTGCCACAGCTAACAAACGATATGCATACAACACGGAATTAAAACAAGCCAAATGGTGGAATCAATAACATTGACTGATATATGCATAATATAGCAAGATTGAATAGATCAGCCGACAACATGGCAGTTCTACGTTATATAATACGTCACTGCGGAAGAATGGTGCCGAAAATAACAAGCATTACACTCGCAGTAGCCGCTGGTAGAACATCTGTGTATTGAAGCAAGACCTATGAACCAGTTTCTCCTGGGGATGTAAAGGTACGTTGCTAATCTGCATAATGGACCTGACCACGAGCTCGGAAGGCTATTGAAATTTCTAGGTGTGTAGCCTGGCTGATGTTGGGGGTTAGTTGGTTTCATACCCAAGCACGGTTGCACCGATAGAAGCTCTTGCGTAAGATGTTCTGCAATCAGAAGAGAAAGAGCGTATTGGTGTCGATGGCTGTAGGAAGTGCAAGGGTGCCTCCAGACGTTCTTGATGTAGACTTTACTATGTCTGGGCATGACTGTAAGGCACAGGCATAGGCACACCCAGACGCACAAACAGTCTAACAAAATCATCAAGTTAAATGAAAACGACTTCCATTGTGCATTGTTCCATGATGTGAAGCCAGCTAGGCAAGTTCCTCCTACAGGGCGTGGCTAGTGCAATTGGCACTTGATTGAAGTTGCCTGAAAAAGGAATAAAATAATTTAAAACTAAACAATATCTTAAAAGCTAGCTTGCTCCCTTGCCTGCAACCGACTACATTAATGGCTAACCTCAACTGCTTCATCATGTACAATGACAGCCAACACGAACCTGACCGCTTTCTCTTGCTAAAAGTCACGAATGCTTGCTTGCGACTGCTAAAGCCCACGTGATGTTGACCACCTCACCAGCCCCACCTGCTATCAATAACAGCTGAAGTCTAACGAGTGAAGCTACACGGCCAATTAACACACTTCAACAACGCTTGCCGGGCATAAATTTCTGATAGCTCGGTACTCACAGCCATGGGCGCAAATGCCACGGGGACACGGGGGACACGTCCTCCCCACTTTTTGAAGTGTAAAAACTATCAAATGTCCCCCCCCCCCCAGGTTTTTGAACATGCATGTGGTTCTGCATAATTATAAGCTCCTTTTATAATATTATTATTTTGTGCTTGTCTTCACTACACTAAGTGAAAAAAATTGAAAGTATAAAAAAAGACTCCTGATTGATATATATCAAGATATATATATATATATAATAGCCTAAACTGAATATAGGAACCGCGACCGTATAGTTCCCTTAGTAACCCGTCGATAAAATATAAATTAAATTTAGATAGTAACGTTGAATAGAATTGCACATCCAGACATTTTTCAACGTCGTTTCAACGTTGATTGTCTACGTTGTTTCAACGTTGTTTCAACGTCTGTTGCCCGCTGGGAGCTAGTTTATGGCATGGATCTAGGGGGTACCCGGGGGGTCCGGTCCCCCCCCCCTTTAATTTCAAAGTGCCCTAAAAAAAATTCATCCCAATTTTGTTAGGGCTAGTTTTTCTGATAAAGATTTACTTATATATAACCTAGAAATTAGCAAAGAGGGGTCTGCGGGGCGTCCAGGAGACCGGATCTGATAAATTTTTGTTTTTCAACCCGATAAATTGAATTTCACTGTAGGATGACTTAAAAGATAATTTTCTGCTAAAATTTGGAATTCCATCTAGCATTCTAGACATCAAAATCAATGCTCAGATGCTCTCAGAATGCACCAATTTTTAGTAAAATTTTCTTGGGCGAGGTACCCCAAACCCCCCCCCCCCCTAAGTGGCGACGTGCCCTCTGCACGTTGCATAAGCTGCCTTCGGCAGCTTTTTAAAACACCAGAAAAATTAAGCAGGAAAAAGTGCCCTTTATTTCTTCCTGGACTTTAATGATTTTAAAAATCATGGGTCCGCCCCTGATAACGATAGAAACAATAGTTGCTACTTGCAATTGAAATGCGCGAAAATGACTTTTTTAGAGATCAAAAATACGAAAAGTTCTTACCGTGGGAGGGGGGAGACGCCCTCCCACCTCGGTCGCTTCGCTCCCTCGTACACTGTACGCGGTACGCGGTACGCGGTACACTGTCGAAGAAACTGGATTTGCGCCACTGCATACTGTACGCCTGAAACGGTGCTCGCGCATGCGCAATATCTCCTAGAGAAGAAGAATATTTTGGAAAAATTATGCATTTAGAATAGGGAGGAGGTATTCTAGCATAGATTTATACGATAATATTTCACGACTATACCTCTCTTGAGAAATAGGAAGAAGACCTCGCATGTAAGGCGCCCGCTGCATATATACCAGTCAGTACACAATTTGGCTACGTTAGTGTGTTAGCGCATGCGCAATATCTCACCAGAGGAGTTATATTTTGTAATGAATATGCATTTAAGATGGTTAGGGGATATCTCAGCATAGATTTATGAAATAAATTGTTATCAGTAGACCTGTGTTCATGATTGGGAAAGCGCCCTAGCTTGTGGGAAGCAAAACTACTAATCCTGTCCTTCCCTTGCCTCCCCCTCTGTCCCTCGCTCAGCCTCATTCTTTTTTACCGCCCTCCGCTTTCGTTCCTGTCGCCTTTCCTAAGTCTTCCAACCCTCTTTCTTTTTAGCAAGCTATATTATGCAGTGTTCCTCAGTTCATACTGCACACCTGAAACGGTGCTTGCGCATGCGTAATATCTCCCGAGAAGAATAATAGTTTGCAGAAATTATGCATTTACAATAGGGAGGAGATACTCTAGCATAGATTTATATGATAAAATTTCATCAGTATAGCTCTCTTGAGAAATAGGAAGAAGACCTCGCATGTAAGGTGCCCGCTGCATATACCAGTCAGTACACAATTTGGCTACGTTAGTGTGTTAGCGCATGCGCAATATCTCACCAGAGGAGTTATATTTTGTAATGGATATACATTTAAAATGGTTAGGGGATATCTCAGCATAGATTTATAAAATAAATTGTTATCAGTAGACCTGTGTTTATGATTGGGAGAGCGCCCTAGCCTGTGAGAAGCAAAACTACTAATTCATCCCCTCCTGTCCTTCCCTTGCCTCCCCCTCTGTCCCTCGCTCAGCCTCATTCTTTTATACCGCCCTCAGCTTTCTTCCCTGCCGCCTTTCCTCAGTCTCCCAACCCTCCTTCTCTCATAGCAAGCTATATTATGCAGTGTTCTTCAGTCCATACTGCACGCCTGAAACGGTCCTCGCGCATGCGCAATATCTCCTAGAGGAGAAAAATATTTTGCAAAAATTATGCATTTAGAATAGGGAGGAGGTATTCTAGCATAGATTTATACGATAATATTTCACAACTATACCTCTCTTGAGAAATAGGAAGAAGACCTCGCATGTAAGGTGCCCGCTGCAGATACCAGTCAGTACACAATTTGGCTACGTTAGTGTGTTAGCGCATGCGCAATATCTCACCAGAAAAGTTGTATTTTGTGATGGATATGCATTTAAACTGGTCAGGGGATATCTCAGCATAGATTTATAAAATAATTGTTATCAGTAGACCTGTGTTTATGATTGGGAGAGCGCCCTAGCTTGTGGGAAGCAAAACTACTAATTCATCCCCTCTTGTCCTTCCATTGCCTCCCCCTCTGTCCCTTGCTCAGCCTCATTTTTTATACCGCCCTCAGCTTTCTTCCCTGCCGCCTTTCTTCAGTCTCCCAACCCTCCTTCTCTCATAGCATGCTATATTAATTTAGTGTTCTTCAGTCCATACTGCACGCCTAAAACGGTGCTCGCGCATGCGTAATATCTCCCAAGAAGAATAATATTTTGCAAATATTACGCATTTCGAATAGGGAGATGGTATTCAAGCATAGATTTATATGATAATATTTTATCAGTATACCGCTCTTGTCAAATAAGAAGAATGCCTCGCATGTAAGGTGCCCGCTGCATATACCAGTCAGTACACAATTTGGCTACGTTAGTGTGTTAGCGCATGCGCAATATCTTACCAGAGGAGTTATATTTTGTTAAGGAAAGGACAGGGAGGAGGTTGAATTATATTTTCTTCCCACGGCTAGGGCGCTCTCCAATCATAAACACAGGTCTATCTGATAACAATTTATTTTATAAACATCTTGCTGAGATTCCCTTTACCATATTTAAATGGATAATCATCACAAAATATAACTCCTCTGGGGAGATATTGCGCATGCGCTAACACACTAACGTAGCCAAATTATGACTGACTGGTATAGTGCACGCGGCACCTTCATGCGAGGTCATCTTTCTATTTCTGCTTAAGAGCGGTATACTGATGAAATATATTATATTATTAATATACAATTCTATGCTAGAATAACTCCTCCCTATTCAAAATGCATAATAATTTGCAAATATTATTCTTCTTAGGAAGATATTGCGCATGGCGCGAGCAACCGTTTTCAGGGCGTGCAGTAATGGACTCGAAGAACAATGGATAATATAGGGCATGCTATAAGAGAAGGAGGGTTGGAGCTGAAGAAAGGCGAAAGAAGAAAGCTGAGAGGGTATAACAGAATGAGGCGGCGCGAGGGCACCGAGGGGAGGCAAATGGAAGGACAGACGGGATGAATTAGTAGTTTTGCTTCCACAGGCCCTATGGGGGGGGGGACTACTTCCTATTTCTGAAGATAAGTATACTGATTTGAAAATATTATTAATACAATCTAATGCTAGAATATCTCCTGCCCTATTGTAAATGCATAATTTCTGCTTTAAAATATTCTTCTTCTCGGGAAATCATTGCGCATGCGCGAATCAGAGCCGTTTCAGGCGTGCAGTTTATGAACTGGAAGAACACATGCTAAATACAGGCTTGCTAAGAGAGAAAGAGAGTTGGAG